GATGCGGGACTCGATCCCAGGACCCTGGGATCATGACCTGAGCCGAAGGCAGACGCTTAACTGACTGAGCCACCCAGGTGTCCCTCCCCTTTTGTTTTTTAAGTCTAGTTTACTTTTATTTATTGGAATTGAGATCCTATATCATTTGCCAGTGCCTTATCAAATTTATTTATAGAAACAACTAGGCTAAAACAAAATGGAGTTAAAATGATTTTTAACTAAGTTGTGCTAAAAGCATTTGACTTATTTCCATATTAAATACCTAAACTTTGGAAAATTACCCCTTTTAAGCAGAAGTCAAAGCTTATAACTAATAAACTCCATCTTGGAAGTTCTTGAACTCTCTTTTGGCTATTACAGTATGATAAACTTGGAATTTTCTGTCAAGATTATTTCTTGAAATGTAAAGTATCATATAGTTGCCAATACAAAATATGAGTACAGAGTGTTTCAGATAGTGTGATATTCATTCGTGGAGCATGCGGAAACTTTTTTCTTTTTTTTTTTTTCCCCCCAGAGTAGCACAGAAGAGGGAGGATGCTGTTTCCAAAGAAGTGACTCGAAAACTTTCTGAAGCTGATAACAGAAAGATGTCTCGAAAGGAAAAAGATGAAAGGTTGGACTTCTAAAGTGTTAGTGATAATCAAAAGGGGAATACTTTGTAGAAAATTAAGTTTTTGGTTTCTGCCTGGAGAATGTGGATAATGGAATTGCCTGAGGTTAAATGTTGATATTGTAGAAGACATAGTAATGGGAATAACAATCACACTGACATTTTGAGTTTTTACCACCACCAGATGCTTTTCTTTGTGTTATACACAGTTCATTTGTTTCTTTAAAGAGCCTTATGAGGTAGGGCTAATATTTTCAATTTACATCTGAAGAAACGGAGGTACAGAAAGCTTGGGTAACTTGCCCAAGGGCATAGATTCCTGTGCGTTGGTCAATCCACAATAAGAACAGTAAGAACTCGGGCAGTATGGCTCTAGAACTTGTTCTCCTTAAATGCTGTCCTGGAGTTCAGGAGCCTGCAGAGCTTTATCTAGTGGTGGCTCTGCCACTTGATAGCTATGTAGCCTTGAGCATATTACCTCACCCCTCTGGGTCTGAAGAGTTTACATTGTGTTGGTGTTAGCATTTTTGGGTGGTGGTATTTCCATTCCGGAGCTTCCCTAAGGACAGCCAGTTCTTGGTTATCTGCGTTGGAAAAAGAAAACAACTTGGTTTCTCTCCTGTTGCCCAAATCTCTGCCACATTTGTTAGCCCTTACCCCTCAATTTTTCCTGCCAAATGCTCTTAGAAGACTTAATAGTGTAATATCTGAGTAGCAGAAGTCTCTGAATGATTGAATAAACCTGTGCTTTAGAGTTGTTACGTGGGTTTAGTACAGTCACGAGTTGAGGTTGTTTTCATAGATCTTAAGTTTTAGTATCTACAAAGTGCTTTGTGAAATGGAATTTTTAACCCACTTTGCCTCCAGAAAGACTTTGTGGAGACTTGCCATATTAAAGTGCACATGAAATCAGTACAATTTTGAAAGATCAGAAACCTTTAAAAGTAAGAAAAGCTGGGTGAACAAGAACTCAGAGTTAGTTACAGCAATTGAGCATTGAACTTAACCCTGAGCTTCCAAGTGTCAGGGGAAGCATCTGAGGTCATACACTTTGTCTGATGAGAAGCAGCATGTAAATCCTTCTGAAAAGAAACTTTCCTGGCACTGAATCTTGGAAGGACTTTATCAAGTGGATCCTTATTTAAGAGACACTGAGTAACTTAATAAACAATGTCTTCTACAGTGGTTTTGAAAAGGCACTAAAACGTTATAGAAATGGTGATCTCCTGTGGATCCTTTATAAAAACTGAAGGATACAATATTTTTTTTTTTTAAGATTTTATTTATTTTTTTAAGTAATCTCTATACCCAGTGTGGGGCTCAAACTCAACACCCAGAGATCAAGAGTTGCATGCTCTACCGACTGAGCCAGCCAGGTGCTTCCTGAAGGGTACAATATTAAAATAGTGACAGTGAAGGCAGCTTTAATGAGGTCTGGTTGCATAGCTTCCTGATTGTAAATTTTTTTTTTTTTTAAGATTTTATTTATTTATTTGACAGAGAGAGACACAGTGAGAGAGAGAGCACAAGCAGGCGGAGTGGGAGAGGGAGAGGGAGAAGCAGGCTTCCCGCTGAGCAGGGAGCCCGATGCGGGGCTCGACCCCAGGACTCTGGGATCATGACCTGAGCTGAAGGCAGACGCTTAACGACTGAGCCACCCAGGCACCCCCTGATTGTAAATTTTTGCATGGTGATAGAGATAGGGAATCTAGGACATTTTTTTAAAAAATCTTTTTACTGGGTGCCTGGGTGGCTCAGTCGTTAAGCATCTGCCTTCGGCTCAGGTCATGATCCCAGGGTCCTGGGATTGACCCTCGCATTGGGCTCCCCACTCTGTGGGAAGCCTGCTTCTCCCTCTCCCCCTGCTTGTGTCTCTCTCTGTCAAATAAATAAATAAAATCTGGGCACCTGAGTGGCTCAGTTGGTTAAGCGACTGCCTTCGGCTCAGGTCATGATCCTGGAGTCCCTGGATCGAGTCCCGCGTCAGGCTCCCTGGCTCAGCGGGGAGTCTGCTTCTCCTTCAGACCCTAACCCCTCTCATGTGCTCTCTCTCATTCTCTCTCAAATAAAGAAATAAAATCTTTAAAAAATAATAATAAATCTTTAAAAAAAATCTTTTTACTAAATTATAGTATTTATTAGAAAAGTGGTTCTTAAATTGGAGTGTACATCACAGTTACCCAGTTTCAAAATGCTTGTTACAGCTCTGTAGGTTTTAGGTGATGAATTGTAGCAGAGATGGCAAATGTGTCTCCTCTGCCCACTGCAGACTTGCCTGATTTAGTCTGGCACATGTTCTTGATTCTGGGATATGTCTCAGGATTTTTCTCAGCATGGTATTCAGGTAGTCACTACTACTGGATCAGAGTTGGAATTGGAAATGAAATATCTTTGCCATTGGCTGAATCAGTATTTCAAAGAATGAAGTGTAGGTTTTGTGAATACATAAAATGTAGAGTGTCAGAAGATTATAAAATTTCTGTTCTTGTCATCAGAAGTTTGTGCTGTTACTATTTCACAAAAACCACACTGGATAAAGTTGTATCCAGGTGTATACTCATGATTGACTCTGCTAACTGAGATCAGGACTCTCATTAAGATCTAGTATTTACAAAAAAAAAAATCTAGTATTTTTCTCCCTCAAAAGAGGTGCTTCAAGAGATTTAAGAGAAGGCTTAGCAACACCTCTTTGCCTAGATACAAATGGCTCAGAGCTCCCACCTACAGTCATTTGGAATATGTACCCCATGCGACTTTGAAACTGCTTTGCTCTCCATTCAGGGTTGGAAATTAGCTGAGGAAAATCAGAGAGTCATTAATATTTATCCCAGGGTGTGAGTGTTATTTCTTCTTGACTTACCAATGGTCTGTCATTTAGTATTAATGTGATTATAACAGTTCTTGAGTTTGGTCTCAGTCTTTGCCCTGTAGGAAATGCTCCTTGGAAAAATGACTCCTTGGGCTTGAAAAATGACTCCTTGGGCGTGCTCTCCCAAACTAAGTTTCTTACCAGTGAAGCTTTGGCAGAACTATTGCTGATGAGGGCATTTGGGGGTCTTCATTTTTTTCTAAATGAACCAGGATATCATTGGGCTAGAGAAAATTCTGAAAGCTGTCCAAGATAGTCCTGTGTATACACTGATGTAACACTTGGACATATCGGGAGCTGGAGTAACCTAAAGGATTGAGCCACTTGTTTTATCACAACTGTTTTGAAGATGGTTCTAATTCAGGCATGACAAGGAGTTAGGGAGAAGTGCTCCTATGGAGGTGGGATAATCTAAGCAACCATAATGGAGGCATGCTAATAGCCTGTTTAAGGAACCTGTCTCCACTGGGTCTTGTACCAGTGTCTTAAAAACAAACGTTCTGAATGTTTTCTAGCATTAAACCATGTTGGGGCTATGCATCTTTTTGAGATGGTGTTTTCTTTGATCAGTGTTAAACTGGTATAATTATTTCCTCCAATTCCAAGTCACATGTTTTTTAAATTTACATTTAAACTTCTCTTACATCAGGAGCTGTTTTTAGTTGATGGCTGCATTTAATGTAGTATCTTTTACTTATCCCAAACTTACAGTAAATAGAAGTTTTATTAAGTTGATGGTATCCATAGAATCAAGGACCTATGGCATTTATATTAGAGAACACAAACTTCTTGTGATGAAGTTAAGTTCATTTCATTTAGCTCCTTTACAGTCAAGCTTGTTGACTTTGGATTAAAACATTTGGTGAGTAAAATGTAGCAATTGCCAATGACATTAGCCATAGTGCTGTCCTTAGAGGATTGGTGGAGGGGATCATCTGGCCCCAGGGTAGTGTATCTTTGGGGAGGACAAAGCATCAGTGGTGATGGCTTTCAACCTTTTTGATAATAATCACAGTAAAGTACTTCGCCTTTCGACCAAATACACTCAAACATGCACACATGCAAACGTTTCACAAAACAATAATTATCCTACTGTGGTTGATACACTTGATATTTTTCTTTTCTTTTTTTAAGATTTTATTTATTTGTCAGAGAGAGAGAGAGTGCAAGCACGTAAGCAGGGGAGCGCCAGGCAGAGGGAGAAGCAGACTCCCCACTGGGCCAGCCAGGAACCCAATGTGGGGCTCGATCCTAGGACCCTGGGATCACGACCTGAGCCAAAGGCAGATGCTTAACCGACTGAGCCACCCAGGCACCCTCAGTATTTTTCTATTTAAAAAAATGCTGGTCTCATTCCACTCAGTTACTTTCCCTGAGCGTTGAATCCACCCAATTGATTTCACGTCCCGCTAGTGGGTCACAACCTACTCTTCTAAAAACTGCCTTACAAAGTTAATTAATCAAATGGAATAAAGGCTATCTTATTCATAGGCATCCTGGAACTTCCTGCTGCCCGTGTGAAGAGGTAAAAGAAAAGGCTGATAAAGTTTTAGTTAATAAAACATAATGAGTAAAATGGATTAAATAAAAAGTAAATGGGTTTTACAGAAGTTAAAAAATCCTCCTAATATTGAAGCACATTCTTTGTTTGAATTATGTAAAGGCAGATAAAGATAGTTGCAGACAAGTCTGCTTCTGTGAGCCATGGCTAGGTTTTGTTTTTGGGATTGTCTTCAGGTGTAATATTAAAGGCTGAGATCTGGAGGCTATTGAGAGTCTTAAGCCAGCACAGCCAGGAAAGCTTCATCTGGCTACTGATCATGGAGTTTGTTTTAGGTGAGGACCTAGATAACGATGTCTCTTTAGGCTGCTGGTGAAGCCAAGCCAATTGCAATTAATCTGTCCCTTCCTCCAAAGCTCTGACTGCCTGGGAAAAAAGGTAATACACCAAGCAGCTATTTTTATCAGTAGAGTAAAATATCTTTTTCAGCAGGAAAAAAGGGCACAGTGCTGATTAAATTTAATGTTAAAAACATTCTGTCTAGAATACGTAAGGAAAAACTTACCTTATAGTGGACTAGAGCCATGTGGTATTTAAAATATTTTAATACATATTTATAAACTTGATCAATTTGTCTGTCTACAGAATCTTGTGGAAGAAGAACGAAGTTGCTGATTATGAAGCTACAACATTTTCCATCTTCTATAACAACACCCTATTCCTGGTCTTGGTCATTGTTGCTTCCTTCTTTATATTGAAGAACTTCAACCCTACAGTGTATCCTTTTAAAGGTTGATTAGCATTTTTTGAAGTCTAGAATCAATAGTTTGTTTCGGTTTTTGATTTATCCCAAGTATTTTACTGTGAAGAAAACTGCCCAGGGTATCAGTTCACTAAATAGCACTGTGACCTCAGGCAAGTTTCAGGACATTTTATTTTATTTTTTAAAGATTTTATTTGTTTGACAGAGACACAGCGAGAGAGGGAACACAAGCAGGGGGAGTGGG